CATAAATATAAGCCAGTCTCTTATAGAATTTCCATATCGTAGATTATTATTATCATTTACGATTTTGTGGAAATTCAATTTTGGTGTTATAAGTTTATTAACCTGTTTCGTGAGAAGGTTAATATTGTTTTGCTGAGTTTTTAAAACTTAATTTTGTTACAAAGAATACAGTCCTGTTTTGAGTTATATTATCTCTAAGTTTTTGTTTTCTTAGGCTTTATTTACTTTTTTTGGTTAAGACTGGCGTTTATTTCGTTTGGTAACATCTACTTTTCAGGATTTCTGTCTAAAGCAAGATTCGTAATCTACTTTTAAGTCTCAGATCATTTTATAGGAGTGGGGCCAAATGATTTTCGTTGGCTGTATTGATATCAACATTAGTTGAGAAGGTATTTCGGTCCTATGTGTGAGGCGGTGTATAAACATTCTCCACCGGACCAAGAAGGGATTCTTTCACTAAATTCTATTGTTTTGTTAAATTTTAGGAAGTGGGCGGCACCGATACATTTTCAGCACCTCCTCATATAACTCTTTTCCTCTTTCTTTTCATTTATTTATTTGGAGAAAGTTTCGGTTATTTTACAAGTATTTACTCCCACTAATACTCTTGCTACCAGTCTTAATCTCGTTTCCGTTTTCGAAGTTACTTTTTATGATTATGTAAAAAAGGAAGTGTAACCCGGATATAAGAGACCCGAATATAAGAGAGATTTTCTCTGGTCCCAAATTAGAGCCTGTGTTAATGTATATAAAATAGACCAAACCCGGATATAAGAGAAACCCGGATATAAGAGACTTCTTCTCCGGTCCCGACAACTCTCTTATATCCGGGTTACACTGTACTTTTAAAGTAGTGTCTGCGACCAGAAATAATCATTTCTTTTTCTTTCCAATATTTTTCATATTACCATAGATTAAACAGCTCAGATTAGGGATATAAAAAAATTATTAAATTTTATAAAAAGTTTATAGTTGGGTCAAGTCTACTGAGTAGATTCATTGTAAATGTCACTCCCCCTTACGGCAGCCAAAACAAAATATCCTCTGATGACGTGTTTTATTAAAATGTAAAAAAAATTGTTTTTTGAAATTCGTAATCTGGAGTTCTTTTTTCATATATTATTGTTGATTAAACGCCCAAGTTACGAAATTCAGATTTCAATTTTGTTTTTTTTTTTAGAATTTGAGAAATCACGTTTTTTTATATTTTAAGAATTCCTTTTCTTTTGCTATTCGTAATCTGCATTGCCTAATATGAAAAAAATTGAAAAACCTGATTCTTTTTGGCCTCAGTGCCTATTGTACACCTGACCCAAAAAGATTTAGAATCTGCTCAGCCATTAGCCCGTTTACCTACTCTCAACACATTTGTTATAAATGAGAAAAAGAAATCGAAAAAGAAAAAAAATCCTTTTATTGATGATTAGATTTGCTAAAAATTAATTGAACAACTGGGATCCTTCCTTTTAGTGAAAATGGTGGCCACTATTCATTGTATTTGGTGTAGTATTGACATTTCTACTTTCTTCTTCTTCTTTTTTCGTTTGTTTTGCCTTGTTTACGTCTTTGTGAATTTTCAACAACTCACTTGAATCACGGACGATATTTTCGCTCGCTAAAAGAAACGCAATGATGTGGCAATTTTTCTTTTCTCTTCTTTCTTTTTAAATGCCGAGAGGGGAGGGTAACAGTCACAAGTACTGGGTGCAGAGGGGCCTGGTCCCATTGGCGAGTATATATCACCCGACAGATTGTCGATCGGTATCCTGTTCACGCTTCGAGGCTTGGGTTTCAATATACTAACGACTCTCTTAAGATGCAACTGTGAGAATCGTACATGATTTCCCATCATGCTTCACGAGTTTGGATCGGCGCAAAAGAATGGCTAATTTTATTAAACAATTAAATTCACTTATCATGGGCAGAAGTTAGGTGATTTACGTTTCTTTTGATTACTCTGTTCAAATTGCATTTTAGCAATAATTCCCTTTGTTTTTTTCTCTGAAAAGCTTATTCGAGAAGCTTCAATTGACAAAAGCCCGAATTCGTCGAGCAAATTTTGAAGGATTAACTTGTGAGACTAATGCGCCAATTAACGCGTGAAGAGATGTGATTCTGATCACGTTTTTAATGTGATCCTCTTCGTTTTAGGTGTAGCCCTATGAACATGATTTTGGTCACCTCAGCGTGGGGCAACGGTTAACGAGCCAATCTGGTTGACCATTGTTAATAAGTAGTTAGTTTGATGGATATAGTTATATATCAAGTGCTCATGAATTTCAGTGGGGAGGGCACAATAGATGATGGGGAGATAGATGTAGACGGACAGAGGTAGAATAGGAAAATACACACACACACATATATGTACACGCACAAACACGCGCGCACACATACACATCAACACATGCACACATATATAAACATGTCTCGTTGAACAAGACTGACTGGGTATTTTTGTTTATCTTTTAAACTGTTTCCTTCAATTCATACAAGTGTCTTCCTTCTTTCTGGTCTTAATGAATAGAAACGGAATAAATTTTCAGTGAAACATTTATTAAAAAAGGGATTATTTCCCAAATGCGAAACTACACACACACACACACACACACACACACACACACACATATATATATATATATATATATATATATATATATATAGAGATAACTAGACTCGTTTCGAAAAACCCTTGAATTTTTGATTTGCTAATCAAATCAATCTCGAGGGAAAAAAAGGTTTTAAAAAAAGAAAGAGCTACAAACATGAACTTCTGCCGACAAAAAATCGCACAGATGCAAGTCTAAAGCCCAAAGAAAAAACCCCGATACGAGTAACAACTAACTAACAAAAGAGCTCAATACAATATAATATAATATTTTTTAAAAATATGATTCCTTCGCTACATAAGAGTTCTCATGTTTCAAAAACGAGAGCCGAAACCATCAATATAATTATTAAAATTAAGTTGAATTAAGGTGTCGAGTCCCGTTCCATCCTCAAGCATTTAGGAATAAGCTATCTTGTGGTTTGTTCGCTTGAGGATGATTTCCCATCATGCTTTTAAACAAAAAATATTCTTATAATAAAACTCTACTTCTGTATGGAGCAATGTCTTCTTAAAAATAAAAACAAAAATACTAAGGAACTCCGGATAATGCACCCAACGTGTTCTTTTCTATTTTCTGCATACCTGCGCACCTAGAGAGCCAGACAAACCTACCAAGGATTCAGCTAAGCGGATCGTCAGGAAAGGCTGGCTCCTTCCCTGACGATCCGCTTAGGTGAAACCTTGGAAGGTTTGTCTGGCTCTCTAGGTTTAACTAGGTCTGCTCTACTTATTGTATTGAGCAGTTTATTTAGTTATTTTGCCAACTCGTATCGGTTTTTTTTCTCTTTGGGCTTTGGACTTGCATGCTAGACGATTATTTTCGGCTAACGTACATGTTCTCGGTTCTTTCATTTTTTTACACCTTTTTTCCCTTTGGTATTGGTTTGATTATTTGCAAATCAAGACACCGAAAGTTTTCCGAACAAGTATAGTTTCTTGTACTTATAAGATATCTGTTAATAATAATAATAATAATAATAATAATAATAATAATAATATATATATATATATATATATATATATAATCTTTTCGAGATGAAGGCTCACTATAAATACAGAAAATGAACAATGAAATCTTAAAAGAACATAAGGAAATTTTATTGCTTTAAAAACTGATTCCTATAATTTCCCCGAAGAAGGTCATGAGACCAGAAACACGTGTAGCAAAAATATGAAGAATAAAACATAATATATACACTAAAACAAATCCACATTAAAAGATTTGCGGCGTCTCTCTTTTTAAAAATATACATTTTTCTCTCGTAGGAACAATTATAACATTTTCCTTTATATATATATATATATATATATATATATATATATATATATATATATATATATATATATAAAAAAATGTAATTAAAATATTACATTTTTTCTTTTATTTATATTCTAGCGATAAACAGCATGTGGATCGGCTAAAATGCCTACACCTTACAAATTTTAATTTAGAATATTTACAAAGTAAAAATAATAACATATATATATATATATATATATATATATATATATATATATATATATATATATAAAACATAGAGAAAATGTAATTAAAATATTAAAAAAATTATTAATGGCATTCTCTCGAAACGAAGACAAATGTTTTCCTTGTTCTTGATGTAGATTCATGACACATAGATCCCATACACAAGTAGATTCCAAGCGGGTAGATCACATACTAAAACATTCATGAGATGTAGATCCCATACCAAAGTAGATTCCAAGTACGTAGATCACATACAAAAATAGATTCTTGGTACTTAGTTATCTACGTGTCAAAATGGCCACAGTGGATTTCATATTAAAAATCCCTTATATTTTTATACACTAAAAATAGTATTTGAAATAAAAATATATTTGCAAAGCAATTGATTTTATTTATCAATCCAACAGATTTATCGCTTTAAACGTCAATTTTAGTGGATTCTCATATCTGAATAAACGCTCCACTTATTTTATTAAACAGCATATTTATTTAGTTTCGTCAACCGGCTTGAATATTCGAGAAAACTTATTAACGAAAAATATGCGGATTCGAATCTGTCTCCACCCAGGCAAACCGTCATTAGATCCGACGGGCATTGACCGACTCGGCCATGGTGCAGCCTTACGGACCAAACAACGTTTATACGTGCGTTTTATGCGAAATCCTACTCGTCATAAATTCCTCAAAATGTTCATATCTGCTCAGTTTTGTATCCATATGTAAACAAGGTAAAAGTTTCTATGGTAACGCATTTTATTTATCTATTCAACAGATTTTTATCACGTTATTTCTAATGGATACTCATGTTTGAGTAGACGTTCCATTTAGAAGCCAAAGGAAATTGGAACTCGGCTCGCTGATTAACGATTCCGAGTCCTTATCCACTACACCACCCACACATTCAAGCTTACAGCACCTGGTGTTCCCAAGCGATCACCCATCTAGATACTGACTAGTCTCTACGGTGTTTAACTTCGGTAATTGTACGGAAATCGATGTTTCAACGTGTTATGGCCGTAAGCCACGTATGTGTGTGTGTGTGTGTGTGTGTGTGTGTGTATGTGTATGTGTGTGTGTGTATGTGCGTGTGTGTGTGAGACGAGAGAGGGGAACACACTAAGATATATAAATAATTAAGTAAAGAATTTTAGTGAAATCTTCGAAGTGTATTTAAAGTTTATACAGCATTTCATAGTTCAGTAATCATTCAATACTAATACGTCATTTACAAACATTGAGAATATTTCAAATACTGAAACAAAATAGATTCTATTTGAACTTAAAAAAAAAAAGAAAAGATCGTTAGCATTTAAATGTTTGTCTTTCTGTTTTTGGAGGAAAATTCATTTAGTCATTGACAATGAAAATCGAAATCCCTTCTAAATCTGGAGTAGCTATGGATGCATAGAATTTTTTTTTTTATCACTGGGGAGAATCCGTTAAAAGTCTAATATCCAATATTTCGAAAATGTACCGGACAAGTGAAAAAGAAAAGGAAAAAAAAAAGAAGAGTTTGTGTTTTCTCACCATTTGTTATTCAATGGCATTTTTTCTTCTATTATTTGTTTTCGTTTTTCTCTTCACTGCTAATAGCTTTTCTATGTTTCCGAAAAAATGCCAAGTCATCTTTTCATGAAGGCCCATTCAGTTGGCAAGTGTGAGGTTAATTTCGTCGCTCACCCACCGTTGCTTTCTGTTTACCTGTGTGGAAATCCTCTATTAATTTACCTGATCTAATTATTCTACACAGCTTGATTAATATTCTAGAGAAAAACCCGAACTCCTCGTGAAAACAATCTATATAATAAAACAACTCTTTTTTTTTTTTTAGCGATTCGTTATCTTGCTGTGTAAACGGTAGCTTCAGCTTTGCCGAAATAAACGCTAACAATTAATAGGATTAAAAATTAATAAACATACTTCATCACCACGACCACCATAATCAAAAGAATACATTTTTCTTTTATCTATTAAATATGTTTCAGTAAAAGCTTTGGCATGCTGGTCTTCTTCACAAGTTGAAAGGTTATCGCATTTCTGGCCGAATTTTTGACCTCATTTAATCTTCCTTTTGAAATCGCGAAATGAAGGTTGTCTTGAATGACCATTCTTCTAGATCTTTTTGCATTAATGCAGATGTCCACCAGGACTCTATCATTGAACCTATGTTGTTCTTAATATTCATCAACGACATCATCAATATCATTAGCTCTCGTCTCGATATCTGTGCGGTGACACAACTATTGACTCCTTTCATGATGGTAAGTCTGATTTGTTCAATAAGGAAAAATTGGCAGCTGATCTAAAAAAGTGAACGAAAATCTGTTATTAACTGGGAAAGGAAATAATTCGTTAAGTTTAACGCTTCCCAAACGAAAGTGCTGTGTTTTAATCGTCGTAGAGAGGCTTTTTTTTGCCTTCCCTCAGTATGGCTGATGCTCACCAACAGGAGAGTGAATTACTGTACCTTCTCGCACTAACATTTTCCGCTGAAATGGAGTGGAAAGATTATATTGAATCAAATGATAGGTCTGCTGCTAGGGAAATTGGTTCGTTGTGTCATGCTAGACAATTTTTCTCGCAATCTCTCTTATTTATAAATCTACCATTTGTCCTTCTTTTAAATATTGCTGCCACACCTGGTATGGTGCTTCTACTATGATTTTGAAATTCTTGATAGAATCCAAAGAAAAATCTGAAATGTTATTGGTCCTGACGTGGCATCTCGGCCTCAGACCAATTTTCACCGATATAACCTAACGTTCCTTTTCTATAAATATTTTCATGGTAATTGTTCTGATGAGCTTTCCTATTTAGACTTTACGAATTTAAGCTCAGTACTAGATTGGCAGGCAGGTCTCATCTTTTGACAGTTGAAAGTGCTAGATGTAAGTACTATGTGAGATGCAAGTTCTATTTTAAACCTTTTTTCTCTCGCACTTCTCGCTTTTAGAACTCTTTTCTGCTCATTTACTTGTTTGTCAATTTTGATTTTCAAAGATGCAAATGCAATGTCAATCATTATCTTCAGTCTTAATTCCTGTTCGTTAATAACATTTTCTTTTTATCACATTCTTTCACACTCAGTAACCCCTTGTGCCTTAGTGGCTTCATTGCCTTGCTTGGAGTGAAATGAGTAAAAGATATCCTTTAATAATACATATAGACAAGTGATAGTGATTGTTCGTGGAGAAAATTCGATGACTGTGTCAATGTAGTGGACTAACCAAATCCCCGAAAATAAATATATATCCTGCTTGATCGGCTGTAGCTGTGGATTTGCCACAGACACCAGTTTTCGGTTTTCGAATCGGAGTAAACTGCCGAATTTCGAATACTCAAAGCGTGCAAACTCTCCTCATTTCGATGCAACGAGGTCATTATTCTATTTCGTCGCAAGACGATCGCTACTCTATCGCCATTTTCATGGCAAATTTTCAGATGAGCTCTACGCTTTAGTTCCACTAGTTCAAACATTTACAGCTACGACACACCATGTTATTTCCAAGGAGTCGAATTACACATATTTTTTTTGGTATTCCATTTGAAAAGAAGTTTCACTCAAACAGATGTTTCACATGAACTGCTACTTTGTGAAACGAAATCCGGCAGGGATGTTCTTCTGTTACAGTCTTAACCACATTAAGTCTGTTGTCAATTGTTATCTATCCTCCTTATCCTTATAATCTTCTTTTTATCTCCTCTTACGTTCACATCATACAACTCAGTAAACCTCTACTATGAGTGGCTCTTGAGCCTTGTATTTGTTGAATTTTATTAGAAATATTGATGTTGGTAGATTGTGGTTTTTTAACATCCTTTATATATATATATATATTTATATAAGGTGCGATGGGTAAATTGTTTATATTTTTAATTTCGTGCATGCGCGTTGTTTCTTTTTGATTTTGTCGACTGCACAGTATAGTAGGGTCAGTTGGGCACCGTCTGTGAGAAAAAAGAGCACCATGACGCAATTCACTCCGCCAGTAATCTGGAAACGCATGCGCTTCCGTGGTCCCGACTTTGAGCCCACATCAATAAATTATTTTCAATTGTAGTTGTGATGAAGTTATATATATATATATATATATATATATATATATATATACGCAAAACAAAAAGAAAAACGTTTTTTTTTTTTTTTTAAATCAAAATTCTGAGCTTCGCTCATTCGTGCGCATGAGCAGTGACATCAAAGTAAATATGAACTTAGAGCGATGCAGTCCTAAATCACGAAAAGTGTCACACAAAAATCTTTTCCACTCTGTCATGCATCTTTCTTCACCAAATATATATAGCAATTTATATATCGTTATCCCCACCATATATATATATATATATATATATATATATATATATATATATATATATATATAAATAAATAAAAAAAGAACAGTAAGATATAAAATCCGGTGTTCTTATAGATATTTTATTTTTACAAAATAGTGCTCAATGTAAATTTACAGAGCATTAATATTATAAATTAATTGATTTAAAATATGGTTATTTTCGCTACACAGTTCCAACCATGTTTCAAAAATGGAAGCTAAAAGCCCCGAATTTAATTTTGTAATTAAATTAAAGACATTACATTAGTTCCATTTCATCTTCAAGCGAATTTTTTCGCTTGAAGATGAAATGGAACTAATGCTTTTAATTTATGAAATGGAACTAATGCTTTTAATTTATTTGCAAAAATAAAATTAGGTTTTTTAGCTTCTATTTTTGAAACATGGTTGAACTCTGTAGCGAAAAATAACCATATTTTAAATCAATTAATTTATAATATATATATATATATATATATATATATATATATATATATATATAATATTTTTGTTTAAAAATATGATTCCTTCTGCTACATAAAAGTTCTCATGTTTCAAAAACGAGAACCGAAACCATCCAAATAATTATTAAAATTAAATTGAATTGAGGTCCCGTTTCATCTTCAAGCGAACTGCATACCTGCGCACTTATATATATATATATATATATATATATATATATATATATATATATATATATATATATATATATATATATATTATCCAGTGTTAGATTAGAACATGCACATACCCACTACAAAACTGTACATCTTATTTCAACGTTAAAAAGATTTTAACGTTTCATCAGGTGGGAAATCACGATGCTCCTAAAATATTTTATTCCGAAATGCAGTTAACGAAACATATCTTCCACTTCCGTCACTGGAAAGTTTCCCTTAAAAGATAAGAAAAAAAAAAGAATTTACATGTGGAGAAAGAAAGGAAGTTAAGTTATTAGTAATAACGAAAGAGAGAAGAGAAATAAGAGGAAAAAGGCCAAGAAAAGGAAATAAAGGTTGAGAAAAAACAGTGGAGTGGGAGGTGATATAAATTAAGAAGGGACAAATTCAACCAATGGAATTCCGTTGAATCATAAAATTTGAATTTTAACGGTCACCTAGACGTGGTTAGGTTAATGTTTCTAAGACAAAACCTTCCTGTGCTCGGAGACAATTATTCATGGAATTTAAAAGAGTACTACAGTATTTTATGAAATGGACTTTACCGATTTGAAATCTTTATATTTTCATATTAATTATACTTAACCAAATTTTACTTTACAATATGAATTAGAATACTACATACATTTTAAACGTTCGTATTATTTTTTAATATGCAGTTGTGAAAAAGAAATGAAAGAAAGATCATTATCATCTTCATCATCATCGTCGTCATCACCATCACTACCATTTCCATGATTGTGTGTGGTTGTAGGGTCTCTGCGCAACTGAACACTTGACTACCCGCTACACATTTGAACTGAAAGCCGAAAAGGTATTCATTCATGCGTAGTGTTTCTTGGGTAAGCAGACCTGGCGAGGCCCATCCATCTCCAGTTCAAATAGGCGGTGTCCTCTCGTTTTGGTCGCGGATACGTGAACGTTGAAATCCATCGGGATAACCCTTCGCCTTGGCCGTTAACCTCAGTCCAGGAAGCCCTCCGCTCAGTCGTATCCTGTCATCATCCCG